TGACTGTAGCTTTGGAACAAGCTCCCACTGACCTCTGTAGCTGCAGGTGATGTACAGTAATTAATTCTCAGTTCCAAAGAGAAGCACTAAAGTCATGCAAGATGGGCTTTGGTTATTTGCTCTCTTCCCTCTGCATATGACCTGCTCTTTGTTATATTAGGGAACAGAATGCTGAAAGGTGTCTATGTCACTGCTGGGAAGGGGTGATGATCTGAGCTGAGATGCTGAAAGTGAAACTGCAAATGCTTCTGCTGTAAAATGTAAAGATAAATTACTTCACAGGGCCTGTAGCTACAGAGGCCACTTTAAAGTGAATATCATTTGAAGAAACTAATGAAACTACAACCAGTGATGTAACAATAGTCATAGCAGCTATTGGGGAAGGAGATGACAGATTTAGCCGATTATAAGCAGAAATGCCCCCTTGTTGACACCTTTATGAGGCTTAAAAGGGCTTGAAGGCGATTTGTTAGTCTGTGAGAAACCAAGGAGAGAAGAGAAAATGAAACTCCAGTTTGTAGCAAGTTAATGCAAATTGTCCAAGCATCCCACTCCCAGAAAGTAGAGACGCACCTGTATGCAAGTGCCAGGCTTTGTGGGCAGATGGGGAACCAGGCTAGGTGGGTCTTGAGAGGATTCTGCCAACGTCCAGAAATTGAGAGTGTAATTCCCTAATGAGAACTGGATGTGAAGCAAATTTATTGTTTAGACCCTATCTTAGACTCTTTCACTATTATCACAGTCATTTACTCAGCTTGCTAGAGTGTATAAACTCTCCCCTGTGGTCAAACATGCTCTCATTCACACTCCCTCCTGAATCGGTGCTGCATTATCAAGTGGAACTATGAGCAAGTGGATGGGAAAATTAATACGGCAAGTGGGTGGAAAAATTTAAAACTGCAGCAGTTCCCTTTGTATAACTCAAAGAGGAGAGCTACCCCATGTGGCTAACTTGCAAAAAAGTATGAGCAAGAAGAAAATTTTAACTTCCCATATAATTGCCAGTCATATACTGACTCAATACCAGAAGAAACGTCAATCCAGCATAAAGCTGCTAGGCACTCACAACAGTGAGTTGTAGAGGTGGGACAGAAAAACTGACTCAGCTCTGGAAAGATAACTCCATAAGGAATTCCTAAACATACTGGTCTGACTTGAGTAGTAAAGAGTTGAGAATCTGCGCTAACTGGAGAGCTGCTCAGATTTCCATATCTGGCCCAAATCTACCCATAGCTATAGATGACTGGAGAAAGTTCCAGAAATTTAGCGCTGTCACAGAGAGAACACCAGTATAAACTGGGAAAAACTGTGCCCATTGGCTGACTGGGGAGACTTTCAGGATATAAAATGAAACTAAGTGCAAATACACTCCTTCGCTTGCTGGTTCCGGTTTCTTCCAGGAGCCGGATTTTTGTCAGCCTTGATTGGCCAGCAGGTAATGTGACTCTTGTGCATGTACACAGGAGGTAAATCTTTCTGGCTCCAAAGGATGCCAAAAAATGTGCACTGAGCTGTGCACGCACAACCTAATGTACACTCTAAAGAGGATTGTGTACTGCTAGGTAGGTTTATTTTATTGAAAAAGAGACATGGCATGTTGTTTTCTGCAATAAAGAGCTTCCCTGCTGTTGACAGTCGAAAAATCATCCAAACGGAGTATGGCAGAACTGAAAAGAGCACATCTACTCTCCTAAATACGCTATCAAATCCTGAGGCATGATGGTTGTGGGTGGGGTTTTCCTCTGTTGGCCAATGTTTTTGGTGCCAGTGTCCATTTCTCCTATAGAGGCAATATAACTCGACAGTCTACGAATAACTGTGTCCTTCAATGGACAAGAAAGAAATGGCATTTTAATAAGAGAAGAATATTGACCAAAAAACCACAATAACTGCATTACAAATGTACTATTTTTATCAAGAAGGGAGGTAGACTTCAACAACAACAAAGAAGGCTGAAAAGTTGACTTTTAATCTGGGCACACATTACTCACTCACTATGTAGCTCTCGAGAGGTAGCACAAAAGGCTGTGGTTCTAGTGGTTATGAGTATTCCACTAATGTTTATGAGTAGCATAAAACTCCTGTGGTAGCGGCTGTCTGCACTCTACATTCAACAGAAAAATGTATTGTAATCTTTGTGCGTGAAAAGTGTTGGATTATGGTCTTCATGTTACCACCATCAGAATGTTTTGTGTGCCTGTGGTAACATATTGCTGAACATATGTAATTATGATTCTCTGCTTACTTCAGCTCTTGTAATCCTTATCAACTAGAGCAATTGTACACTTCTGCCGTAAGCCTGTTTATTTGGCCATAACTTTGTCATTACTTTCCACTCACTGTGGAACCTAAGGGGTTAATCCCCTGCATTGTTCAAAAAGACTATTTGATCCTGACCTCTCTGATCCTCCCCTTCTTCCAGTGTCCCCCTCTTATTTCCCGATAAGACGTATCGTGTGGAGACGCTCTAGCAATCCACAGCAAACTGAGCATGTGCAGAGAGGTTTTTTTTTTTCTTAGGAGAGTGCAAGTGATCAGCACAGGGCCAATCAGAAACTCTCCAGACAGAGGTCAGGGGTTCTGCATCCTCCTAAAGCAAAATGAAAATTATTACTACAATGCTCGGCTAGACATTGATAGAAGTCACAAGACTGCTCTAACTGCTGATGAGAAAAGGTTTTTAGCAGTTTATATTTACTAAAATATTTCTGTTCTGTGTACTGTGAGAGACCAGATATAGTGAGTGCAGGGTCCTGGGTTCAGTAACACTTTAGGATAACACTTTAGGATGGGTGGGGGACAAACTAGACTTTTTTTGGTAATATTGTAATATTGAAAATGATTGTATTCTCTATGTAATTTATAGACAAAAGAGAAAAAAAATGTCAATTGTTTTCAGTCAAATGAAATTGTCAGTTGTTGTCACTCTTTAGAATTTTGTTAAGCTTCCACACTGAAATTGTTAGTTCTTGCACCAAATTCATGTACCGAATTCATGTACCTGTCAAACACAAGTACATGAATCTGTCAGAGGCCGGCATTGAGGTTGGAGTGCCTATGCTGGACACTGTTTTTACAATGTGCTCCCTCCCTGGCCATTGTACCAGATACACAAGCAGGAACATGTCTGAGGAGTTTTTAGTGGAGTGGGCGAAGCTTGATGGGAACTAAGGGGTTTATTTACTAAACCTGGTTGACTCAGAATCTTGTCCACTTCTGCATAAAAACCAATCAGCTTCCAGGTTTTATTGCTGAAGCTTAACTGAACATGCTGAGCTTAGAAGCTGATTGGCTACCATGCACAGGTGCCCAAGATTCTGAGTCAACCAGGTTTAGTAAATAAACCCCTAAGAGTCTAGTTCCCCATCAGGCTGCCTTGCTTTTGACTGACAGTGCACAACAAAGGGTTGTTCCTTATGCCTTATTTAGTCTTTTGAATCTGTCTACTGCATTTGACATGACTGCCATCTTATCAGATCACTAAGGGGATCTGACTGTGCTCCCACAGTGATCCTCGTCTGCTCTGCCACACTACCAGTAGGACACCCACAGTGGTGCACCTTTATGCAATTCCACAGTGCTCCCCCAGGAGCTCAAGACTCCATTTTGGAAGTATAGCCATAGCATAAAACAAGCACATAGAGATGTCAGTGTATACTACATGCGAATGTACCCACATTCAGGACAATAATTAACGACCATTACATGTAAGGAATAGAGCAGAAATTTCTCTGCCTTTACCCATTCAAATAATGTGAGACTTGGGTGCAAAGCCCCTGTATCTGTTTGTGTATGCAGTACTTCAGATATTTTTCTTAATTTACAAATAAATAGATGATTTTGGCAGTTTTACTGAGCAAGTTATATTGTAAATTATTGGCAAAGTCCATTATATGTATGTCCTTCTGAGTTGTGTTGGCAACCCAATCATTATGTGCATGAGAATTTAGACAACTGAAAAGGCATATTATTATTATTATTATACAATATTTATAAAGCGCCAATAGTTCGCTCAGCGCATTACAAAGGGGGAGAACATGTGACAGAACAAAACCAATACAATGCAAAACATGAGGGGATTGAGGGCCCTGCTCTTTCGAGCTTACAATCTAGGATCCATCATAGCTGTATGTATATCCCCCTCTTCCAGCTTTCCTGAAATGCTTTTGATTCCTAGAGCCTATTTCATGAGCTAAATTATTGCATCAATGCTTTTCAAAACATGGGCATGTGTGGGCAAATTTGGATGTAAACTGGGTAGATCAGGGTAAGGCCTAAAATACTGTGATTAAAATTGGAACATGCTAAGATACTCTTAACAATTTTTATATTTATTTACATGAAATTGTCCTTTTAAAGGATATGGTTTTACTTTGTACTATAAAATGCTTCTACCCTACCAAATACATTGTTCTCATAAATCTCTGGCTTGTGGCTGAAGTAGTATTTAAACTATTTGATGAAGAATTGCTGTTGCCATGAAATAGTTTAGTCTACAACAGGCCCCTTTTGACTCACCATTTTGAAGGAAATGAAAACCAGTAATGTATGTGTTTGTGTGTGTTATTCATTGTCTCATGTCTGCTTTGTTAGGCACATTACTTTTACCTGTCCTGGCATAAAATATGAGTGCTATTTTTTTACTAAAAAGGAACACTCCGGTCAATCAGAAACATACAACTTTTTGACCAAGGTTCCAAGTTTAATTCTGGTTTTCAACTTCTGCATCTGGATGCCCTACAATGAAGCTATCTATAATCCTATGGATTCCATGATTTTCATTTACAGAATGAGGAAATGAATGAGAGCCAATGTGTTCCATTGTGCTGGTAACACCCTCTTGGGTTTTAAACAACTCACAATAAAATATGTTTCCTGGATAGCATCAGCAGTTCACTGTTTAATTTTACTTGTTTCCTGGAACTGGTTTGCAATACAGCAGAACTTTGCATGACAATTCTGGCATGGATGCCAGCTCATGAACACAGTCACATACTCACCCTCTGTGTTGGAAATAGGGCTACTGTCACATTTGCTTTCACACTGTTGCATTGAAGATGGGCGAAGAGATTCTAGACAATCGTTTGATGCCTGCCCGTGTATGATAGACACTGCACTGTTCTCATCTGCTGTCCCAGACCGCAGTGTGCCGAACACTAATGAACACAGTAAAGAGGAGGACGTTCTGTTATGTACAATTAACATTGACTTACTCTGAAGTCTAAGGCCTTTGAATCTACAAACAAATTAATCTGCTTAACAAGAAACAGGAGCTCAGCTCTAGGACTGTACAGTAAAAAACAGATAACCACATAGATTTTGAGGCTTTTCAGTTTGAGGGAATGCAGGCATGCTAAACGCTTTATTTTCATTAACCCAATGTGATCCTTTACATACAATTAAAAATGGGTAAACAGAAATTCCTTTATTCTGTTAAAATGTATACCTAAGCTGAAATTGTATTTTAAGAGACACTGTTTCTTTGCCCATTTAGAGCAATGTGACAGCATCTGTGCAAAAACACCCTTACTGATCCGCTCATGCTCATTTCTCCATAAACTTCCCCTCTGCTTTTTGTCCATCACAGTCGCTGCCAAATTACCCGGGGTCAGCTGGTGTCTTTGCCTGGAGGAAACCTTTCACTATGTTAGATTCTTGGGCCTAGTGACTGATCACTAGGTCTGAGCACTGGATCTTGGGGGTATGCCATGTGCTTTCCAATACTGGAAACACTGGGAATTCTTAGTACCAGCTGTGACGGAAGAAGTAGGGGGATAGATGGAGAGATATCAGTGGGCAAAGTGACAGCATCTCTTTAAGCAGAGCTGGTACTCAAATGTTAACTTAAAGGAATGTTACCAGTCTTGCAGAGATGTATAGTATAATACCTGTGCTGATACTTTCTAACAACTCTATTTATCAGTCTTCTCACCCATGGTTCACACAACCTCTACCCAAGAGTCACACATTTTTCCAGCTTAATCCAACTGAAAAATGTGTAATTCCTAGATGAAAGTTATGTGAATCTAGGGTGAAAATACTGCTAAAAAGGCCTCCTAATAGTCTTGCAATCTTGTACATTTAAAATATGCATGACCTGAAATTGTATATAAGGTGAGCCTATAGTCAAAAGTTAACTTAAAGTGTATTTCCACTTTTGCAGTCAAGTTAGAGAAAAACGCCCTGTATGTTCGTTTTGTGTTCCAATTCACACAGCATAGATAAAAATATATGAAAATGTCTTACTTATTAGACGTGTCCTAATATAAAGTGTTATGGTAGACTTCAAGCATATATTAACAAGTTAAGAGGGTGTCTGTCCCAATAGAAAGACTACAACAGGCTGGGTTTCTTCTCCCAGCTTCTACATTTTTAACCCTTTGTTAGGATGTGTTCAAATTTAGTTTACAACTGATAATGCGATCTGGCAGCACAGTACAGACACGGGTATTTATGGAAGACTCCCCAGTCCCCTCATAAACAAAGATAAGTACATTGAATTATCCAGTGCTGGAGTTATCAGAAAAGAGCATCTAAAATTCAAAGATAAGCTGATAGGATAATTGGCTCCTGTCTAAATAGGACCTGTGTATGGTATGTATGAATGTGAGATAGGGACCTTAGAGTCTAAGTTCCTTAGGGGCAGGGGCAGGGGCTGATGTGAATGTACAATAAATGTAAACATGTAACAAATATAAAGTAGATGTCATCCCAATTTGGTTGCAAACATGGAAATACACTAAAGCAATGCTATCAGTCTTTCAGGGATGTACACTCACATATACAAATGGCAATACATTTAGTCTCTGTTGTAGAGGTGGATTAATCTCAACTATTACCCTACATCAGCAAAGATCATATGACCTGAAGCAGCAATTTCTCCAGGAGAAGTATTTCAGTCCTTCTTTGGTCAGAAAAACTGTTAATATAGCTTTCGGTTAGCATCTAAGTAGGCCCATTATAAAATGCAGTATATTCTGCAGAGATGCACTAAAAGTCTTTAGTAATTAAAATTCACAATATATTTAAGATGCCATTTATCACCCACCTGTCCCCATTCTCCGGTAACCCATTTGGGAGGTGGACAGCGCCCCAGACTGCAACGTATGCGGACTGGTGGCTTGCTCTCTTCTGGACAATTTGTAGAGGGAAATGTCTTTGAGAGGTCACTGCTTTTACATTGGACAATTCGATGCTTGAAGCCAGGGCCACATTTGGGGGTACACTGGAAATAAAAACAAATCATATTTAAGCAATTAAACAGTTGATTACATATGATGTATGTTAGTATATGGCACTTAAAAATATACTGTAAATACATATTCAGACAAATCCCCCCTCAGCTCAGTTCTTAGCACTACGATTCAATGGAACAGCCTTAATTTGCAGATTCCAAATATGTAAGGTTTACAGAGTATGTAAATAGTGAAATTTCAGCAGCCAGTCTCAAGTGGAGATCTAAAAAGACTGAGAAATAATTATCAGACACCAGGATTAATAACAATTCATGTCAATTGAGCAATATTCAGTCAAAGAGCAATATAGAGAGTGCATGAGTGATAATATTTTGAGAGCAGTGATACATATACCTGTACATTATAGACCTGTTAGTTTAACTTCCATAGTTGGGAAGATACTGGAGAGTTTAATAAAAGACCACATAGATGAGTTCTTGCTGGAAAAAAATATTTTAAGCAACAGACAGCATGGATTCATGAAAGACAGAAGTTGTCAAACAAATCTGATTTCTTTTTGAGGAGGTGAGCAAAACCTTGGACAGAGGGGTGGCGGTGGACGTGGTATACTTGGATTTTGGAAAAGCGTTTGTTAGAGTTCCCCACACACGGCTAATGTGTAAAGTAAAGTCTACAGGCTTGGAAAAATCAGTATGTAAATGGATAGAAAACTGGCTAAAAGATCGTATTCAGAGAGTAGTGGTTAATGATTCATACTCTGAATGGTCTAGGGTTGTCAGTGGTGTACCCCAAGGTTCAGTGTTGGGGACCCTTACTTTTTAATATATTTATAAACAATATAGGGTCTGGGATTAAAAATCCCATTTCAGTCTTTGCAGATGACACCAAGCTGTGCAGTGGAATAACGTCCTTACAGGATGTCTCCAATTTACAAGTCGACCTCAATGTACTATTTAATTGGGCAACTATGTGGCAAATGAGGTTTAATGTTGATAAATGTAAGGTTATGCAGTTGGGGACTAAGAATATGCATGCATCATACATACTGGGGGGGTACAACTGGGGGAATCAATGGTGGAGAAGGATCTGGGGGTTCTGGTAGATCACAAGCTTAATAATGGCATGCAATGCCAAGCTGCAGTTTCTAAAATTGTCATGTTTCACATGACTGTCATATTCACTGTCATATGCCTTTAAGTGTTTCTATATTTTGTGTCTGCTCCTCCCTTTCCTTTGGTTTAGTTAATGCTGTATAGCTAGCCCTCCCCCTTTCCCAGAAATGCATTGCAGCTCTAGCCTCATGTCATGGAGCAGGAAACATTATGATCTTTTGACCTATCGAATGTTCATTGTTGTAAGAGTCTCTCAGTTTATGGAATAAACTTCACAAGATCTACAAGATGTCTTATTGACTGAGTCACTGACTGTGGTATCCAGCTGAGGTTGAAGTTATCGCTATCTCATCATGACTGTAAGTTACAGAGATCACACTATCAATGCTTAGATTGGAGCAACAGAACAAAAATCCTCTCTTGTATTAAAAGACGTATAGACTCCAGAGAGAGACTGATATCATTCTACCCCTGTACAAATCATTAGTAAGTCCTCATCTGGAATATGCAGTTCAGTTTTGGGCACCAATTCACAAAAAGAACATTGGGGAACTGGAGAAAGTACAGAGAAGGGCAACCAAACTGATAAGAGGCATGGAGGAGCTCAGCTATGAGGAAAGATTAGAGGAACTGAAGTTATTCTCTTTTGAGAAGAGGAGATTAAGGGGGAATATGATCAACATGTATAAATACATCAGTGGTTCATATAGTGAACTCGGTGTAGAGCTATTCACCCTGAGGTCATCACAGAGGACAAGGGGGCACTCTTTACGTCTGGAGGAAAAGAAATTGTCCAAACACAGAAAGGTTTCTTCATAGTAAAAGCTGTGAAAATATGGAATAGACTCCCTCAAGAGTTGGTTCTGGCCTAGCTCAGTGGATTGCTTTAAAAAAGCCTGGATTCTTTCTTGGATACACATAATATAACTGGATACTAACATTTATAGGTAAAGTTGATCCAGGGAATATCCAATTGCCTCTTGGGGGATCAGGAAGGAACTTTTTTCCCCTGCAGGAGCAAATTGGTTCATGCTTTGCTGGGTTTTTCTGCCTTCCTCTGGATCAACTGTGGGTGTAGGATTATAACTTTTATTTTTTTAATGGTTGAACTGGATGGACTTTTTTCTTTTTTCAGCCAGACTAACTATGTAACTATGTAATTATGTAATTATATATGTGGACATCTGAGAGCATTAAAAAAAATGTCTTTAATGTGGATGGAATCATTATCAGACATAGTGGTACACCTTCAATGTGAAGTATGGCGTCATTTTTTTTACTTATGGTTGTTGATATTCTAGATTTTCTAGATTTCTAGATTACACAACCAGAAGGTTTTACCCCCTTCATGACCAGGTCATTTTTTGTTATTCAGCACTGTGCTCCTTTAACTGGCAATTGCTCGGTTATGCAACACTGTACCCAAACGAAATGTACTGTATATCATGTTTTCACACAAATACAGCTTTCTGTTGTTGGTATTTGATCACTACCGGTTTGTTTTTATTATATGCAGTGGTGCTCAAAAGTTTGCATACCCTGGCAGAAATTGTGCAATTTTGGCACTGATACTGGAAATATGACAGATCAGGCCAAAAAACTGTCTTTTATTTAAGGATGATTATCATATGAGGTCGTGTATTATCACATATTTGTTTGGGCCTTTGTTTAATCATTATGATAACAGAAATCACCCAAATGGTGCTAATCAAAAGTTTACATACCCTGGAATGTTTGGCCTTGGTACAGACACACACGATGACACACATGTGGGTTAAAATGGCATTTAAAGGTTAATTGCCCACTTCTGTGGCTTTTTAAATTGCAATTAGTGCCTGTGTATAAATAGTCAATTAACTTGTTAGCTCACGTGAATACACTGAGCAGGCTAGATACTGAGCAATTGGGAGCAGAAAAGAACTGTCAAAAGTCCTGCGTAACAAGGTAAGGGAACTCTATAAAAATGGAAAATAAAATATAAATATATATAAAAAGATATCCAAAAAGCCTTGAATATGTCAGTCAGCATTGTTCAATCACTTATTAACAAGTGGAACATTCAGTCATCTCTTGATACCAAGCCAAGGTCAGGTGAACCAAGAGAGACTGCAACCACAATTGCCAAAAGAATTGTTTGGAAGAAAATCCCACAGGTAACCACAGGAGAAATACAGCCTGCTCTGTAAAAAAAATGGTGTGGTTGTTTTTAAGGAGCACAATACGAAGATACTTGAACAAAAATGAGCTGCATGGTCCAGTTGCAAGAAAGAAGCCTTTACTACGCCAATGCCACCAAAGAGCCCAGAGAGCCATGTCGATGTGTTGTCGGACTATTGTAACCTGGCTTTTTTGTGGTATTAGTGCAGTAAAGGCTTCTTTCTGGCAGCTCGTACCACTTGCCCTCCGGAGGAATTACCCCCCATCCTGACCAGGCCATTTTTTGCGGTACGGCACTGCGTTTCTTTAACTGACAATTGTGCGGTTGTACATAAATGAAATGTATGTCCTTTTTTCCCCCACAAATAGAGCTTTCTTTCTGTGGTATTTGATCACCTCTGTCTTTTTATTTTTTTGCACTATAAGCAAAAAAAGACCAACAATTTTGAATAAAAAAGAAGAATATATTTGACTTTTTGCTATAAAAACATATCCAGTAAAAACATTTAAAAAATCAAATTGCTTCATAAATTTGGCCAACATGTATTCTGCTACCTGTCTTTGCTAAAAAAAATCCCTATACGCGTAAATTAATTGGTTTACATGAAAGTTATAGTGTCTACAAATGGAGATATATAAACTGGAATTTTTATTTATTTTTTATACTAGTAATGCCGATGATCAGCGACTCATAGCGGGACTGAGGCGGGCATTCTGACACTGGAACTGACTGCTATTGACATCCCAATGACACTAATACAGTGATTAGTGCTAATAAAAAGCACTGACACTGTTCTAATGACACGGGGCAGGAATGGGGTTAACATCTGGGGTCATCAAAGGGTTAACTCTGTGCTGTTTTTCATTATGTGCTGTGTGTGTTTTACTAGGGAGACATGCTGTGCAGAGAAATACAAAGCAGCATGTCCTTGCTGGCAGGAGAAAGACCTGTGTTGTTTACACACAGGTCTCTCTCCTGTCAGCTTTGCCGGATGATCGCTGGGTGCCGGTGGGTAATCTCCAGCCGGAACCCAGTGATTGACATCCCTAGCCACCAATGGTGCACACCCCTACCTGGGAATGCAAATCACTATATATATATACGTGATTTTGTGCAGCAATGCGCTCTGGTAGCAGTGCTTCGACTATAGGGTGGTAGGCAAGCGGTTAAAGGATAAGTTCACCTTTCATAACATGTTACATATTACATCCCCCATATGCAGGGTGTAACATGTAACATGTTATGAAAGGACCGGCCCCTGCTCCTCACTGCTCCCCCCCCACTTTGACAGCTAGCGGGGATCTTCTTACTCATTCACAGTCCTCTGTAAATGAGAAAACTACAAGTCCGGACATAGATGTAAACTCACTGTGAGCCGAAGCCACATTTCATGGACCACCCTATCTCTAGATGATGGTGAGTTTATATCTATGTGGGGCATCAGTGTGAACACAGTGAAGCACTTGTCATTTCAGTAACGAGTATCACCATTAAAGATACAGCACTGTTGCACCAATTATTCATATGTTGGGACTGAATATTAATATTTTATTTGTATTTTGCTCAAAGTTATCACTTTAAAGATTGCACAGTTTATTTTGTCAATTTGTGACCTTAGCGCGGTCCATTTTTGAAATATATAAGAGATTTTGTGTTTAGAAATTCACATTTAGGACTGCTGCTATATAGGTATCTT